GGGATTACCTTCCTCTGGGCTTGGAGGATCGTCTCCTTAAGGAGCGACCACTCCCCTTGGACACCCGGCTCCCCTCCCCTCTGAGTCTTCAGCGCTTCTCCAACTAAGTTATGCAGATTCTCAAATATAACCATGCACTATGGGTTCCTTTAGTTCAGCTCTTCTTCAGCAGAACCCGATTGCACCTGTGGGCCCTTGATTTTTATGGCTTGGCTATGGCTTATTGAGGCCTGATAAACTTCAAAGAGCTTTGGGCTTTATTTTGCATTGTTGAAGAAATGTAGTATTGAAATGAGCAGTCACTCAGTAGATTGTGCAGATCTTCATAATGTTTTTTCTGCCTTTCTTCTTACATACTTCAGTGAATCTGCAATGTTGATATACAAAGTATTGACATTAGCCCACCATTAACATATAAGAAGAAACTTATGAATTACAGACCATAGAAAACAGAGTATTAAAGCTATCCTGCAAAGACAATCTATGAATACTGATGATTTTATTTCTAAACAAAGGCAGGGGCAGGGGGACCCTTCCCACAGGCAGGGGCCAGGGGACAGACCAGGCAGGGTAGGGGAATCTACTGCCACTGTTGCTGCCACTGTCCAAGCTGAGCCGAGCTGAGCCCAGCTGGAGCCTGGCAGCTTGGCTGGTATCAGCAGAAGCAGCTCTGAAGCTTCCCCTGACCCTGGAACAGTAGAAACAGCAGCAGGTGTGAGTGGAGGAAGAGGAGTGGGGTGGGGTGTTGTGGGGTGGGGTCGGGAGGAGAGGGGAGAGAGGAAACAAGTCTGAGTACCTGGGGGAAGGTGGGGGGTTCTTACCTGCCTTGTGGACTTTAAAAAGTCCCTGTAGACTCCTGCAGTATAGTCTGTTGCCACAAGTGGGTTGTGGAGGGAAGAGGCTGGGACTGGAAGTGCAGACACCCTTGTAGCACAGGTTTCTGCACCTGCATCACCCTTTGCCAGTTCCCGGATCCACCCATGAACAAAGGTGCTATGATACAACAGCACAGATTTTTAAAGTACTATAGTTTCTAATAGGTTGAGCAATCTTGATTCATGAGCAATAAGGCTACTAGTAGTAGAAAATGTTTTCTAGGGCTTGAAACATAGTATATTTTCTCTGGATTAGCATCCTTGCTATGGTATAGTTTAAGGCTTTTTTTTACTTTTATATATATATTGTGATAGTACCAAACATTGTTTCCCAACCTTCACTGAAATCAGTTATAAAGCTTTTTATGGGAGATACTACACTTTCATACAACACAGTCTTATTTTCATATGGAAGAAGTGTATGCTTTTTCAATTCTGTTAACTCAGTCAAATTCATGTAACACTGTTTAAAAGCCCTGTTAAGATGCAGGCTTATAGTTCTTACAGTTTGAAATTGTTATCTAGCTGTCTTTTTGCCTTTTCAGGAGATAAGGCCAGCTAACACTGCCAGCTAACAGGACTTTCAATTATGTTTTACTAATGTAATTGACCTAACATGATTAAACCATATCCTTTTATTCATCGAGACATACTGTAGTGGATTTGCAGTGAATAAATAGAATGATGGGGTTTTCCAGTGGTCATGTTGTGAGAATGAAACTCATTTGAAATGCTTTCTTTACAATTTCACAAACTAATTGAAGAACTAGTATAACTGCAAGGAATTGTACAATTTCCCCTTTTTTGCTGTCTCATAGATTTTAATGCATTACCTGGAGTTTCATCATATTGGAATATAAACTCCTCAGGACAAGAAAAGCATCCTGTCATAAATCTTTGTTGCACTTTTACACATGTAATATAATATACATAATATATTACATAATATATGCAATGAAAATAACAACAAATTGTAAAGAAAATCATCCTTGAGGAAAACAGTATCATGGATGCAAAGGCAACATTACAGCATTCATAGGACCAATGTCAGCTTTATCTCTAAAACATTGGGTTTAGATGCAAAGAGGTTTATATGGAGAGGCAAGATAGAAGTAATGTTCTTTACTTAATCTTGAATGTAGTCCTAGCTTAATTTATTTCTAGTCCTATTGATGCAATCCTGGATACTCAGAATCATAGAATCATAGAAAATGAGGGCTGGAAGGTACCTCAGCAGGTCATCTAGTCTACCCCTGCTCAAAGCAGGACCAACCCCAGCTAGATCATCCCAGGCAAAAGGGCAGCGGAAGCAGGGGGCACGAAGGCTCAAACTTCTTTTGTTTACTTCTGGATACTTCTCTATTTGTTAGAATTTCACCTTACACCTCAAATGTTAGTTTTCCTGTCACACAACTGCCATTTTGGGGACTTACTGATAATTTGTGATCCTATTCCCTGTGAAGTGTGGACATGTGTGCATGTGGTATTTGAGTAGGTTCAGTAGGCTGCACATTGGCTGAGCAAGTACGTGACTCAGTATGCATGTACCTAAGTGTAAATCCTAAAATCTTGGTCCTGCAAATGGAGGAGAGGTTACCTTTCATGGTTTAGCCCCAGTAGCTGAGTAGTTACACCACTTGCCCAGGAGGCAAATGCAAGAGGCCCCTCACTTAGATGGGGTTTGAACTTGAATCTCTCCAACTTCCCAGCAGAGTGCTCTCATCATCAGGTGACAGGCATTTTCCAGTCCCTTCTCCTGCCCTCCTTTTGGGATGCTTAACCTATGGCCTGATGGTTAGTGAATTGCGATGGAAGAGGCTCTCCTATATTTCCTCCTCCGACATCCAGCACTCCAGTCATCAGTTTTTGTTCTGTAGAAGTTTGACTTACACTTGCCCAGTGAACACATATATAGAGCTGCATACCGGCCTGGTTAGCATGCATCTCATTGTGCAAACTCAGTAGCTGTGTGGATGCTTATGTATCTGCACTGCAAGGGAAACGGTTTCAAACTGTGCCCAAGTATCAAAAATGGCAGTTATGCCAATGGACCACTGCTACATGGGTGTATAAGCTGAAACAGGATGCTGTCCTAAACCTTGGTACAAACCTGCAGAACTGTTATTTTGGAGCTGAATCACTTAGTCAAACACTGTAGTTTCAAATACTGCGACTGTTCTATGCATCAGCCACCAAGCTGCTGTCATATCATTTGCCTACTAATTCAGGTTTGTCAAAACTGACAGTGCACAAGGAGCTGAGTGTAAAACATTGACCTGTCTGATGGTTATTTTCGATAGAATGTACTTATGACTGACAGAGAGTTGCTTGTAATAGTTCTGGTTTTGCCACTTCTGTTTCGTGTTGCGTTTGTTCTTTTTTTGGTAATTGTCGTTCCTTTTCTCTTCCCCTTCAGATGTCCAAAATAACTATTACCTAATAACAGTCTAAAACAAAAGCTATTGTTAAAAAAAAAAAAGAGAGAAGAAAGAAATGTAACAGATTTTCTTTTTTCTTTTAGGTATTGATTTTAAAGTAAAAACAATAACGTTCGATGATACAACAGTGAAACTTCAAATATGGTAAGTTTTAATTTTTTCCCCACGAATGGAAGCCAGCGAAATTATAGTACAAGACACACAATCTCATCTGGTTTTAATTGTATGTCTATAGTCTAATTATTACTTCATAGTGCATTTTAAAATTTGAATTATGCCTAGGGGAGCTTATTGTTTACAGCAACTAGTAGACACTTAAAAAAAGCAGTTATCTCTAAAACCATTTAACATTAAGGTTTCACTGTTGTGGCATACAAATAAATTGCAGACCTCTACTACATATTAAATATAAGCAACTTTATTACAATTTTAAAGGTAAGAAACAAAGCAAATTGTTTCATTACTTCAGACACGCATGCTCATCAGAATTTTGAGGGAGGTCTAGCATGATGAATCTTTGAGCATCCCTACCTTATTTTTAAATAAGGTTGCAGCAGGAATGCTGGAGCCCAGCTATTTGAACTGAGGTGTGTTAATATTTGCAATGGTTAGAATTATTTTTAAAGGGATAATTCTTTAACTAAGTTGATGTTCTGACAACCCTAGATCTTGAGCAGCTAGATCTTCAAGGCTAATTAAGACAGCCCTGGAGACCTGCTTAAGTTTTATGGCAGTTTCCCAGAAACCAATGTGGCCTGCAGTGTACCCTGAAATCCCTGTGTTGCTGCATGGTGTGGATGGTATCCCACCCTGGCATACACCTCCCATATTAGCTGTGCTTTTAATTCACTCCCTATGTTAGAGTTTACAGAAGTCAAGCTGGCATCTACCTTTTGAGGTTCCTATGCTGGGAGAATCCTCCCTCAGCCAAGTCATATCTCCTGTTTAGAGATCTTTATACCACTTTCCTCTCCCCATCTAAAGGGACCAGTGTAGGATCTTAGCTCTTGGTGTAGCCACCCCAATATAGCGTTATTGGTGAACCTCCAATCTAAGGGTCCTACACCAGTGCATTTCTTCAGTGCATAATGCTTATTTACTCTAAAGCAAGTCATAGTACTGGTATAAAGCAATGCAGACATATTACAGTAAGGGGTATACCAGTGCAGTTACATCATTTAACCATGTAGTGGTTAAACCTCCATGTAGACAAGGACTTTGACTATTTTCTGCCTTTTCAGTTACATAAGTGTAGGCTCTAGAACAGTCAAAATATTTACAAAGCTTGCTGTCCTTTCCCTGTCCCTACAGAATAGCAGAATAGAGCATATAAGGATTTTATTCATGTGGCACTACAAAACCATTTCCATGTTCTTGCAGGGCATGCAATACCAAGTGATCTCTTATGGTGTATTGCAGGGATACTGCTGGTCAAGAACAATTCCACACGCTTAGCACTAGTTATTTCCGTGGGGCACAAGGGTTTGTTCTTGTCTATGACATCACAAATTCAGACAGCTTTCAAAGCATCACAAACTGGATAAATGAAATACATCAGGTAAGAATACCTGACTTCTGTCAGTCTTTTTTTCAGGGTGTTTAATAGCTTAATTTCCTGACTTAATGCACTTAATATGTTTAAAAAAACTATGGCCCCATCTACATGTTATAGTTATTGTGAAATTAATGAGTTAGTAGTGTAATTACCCTGAGACCAGCTACACATGCAAAGAAGCCTATTATGCCATAAAAAGCTCGAACCAGCTATAAAGTTAGACTCAAAAATGTGTACTAACTTCATAGCTGGTTGCTATTGAGATTCAATTTGCATGTATAGCAGGTTCTGCCCTATGTCTGGGAGCCCCATCAGCTGTGGGCTCCCAGCCACACAGGGTGTCCCTTGCCCAGTTGGGGATGTGAGTCCTGCAACCACAGGGGACTCTCAGCCCCAGCATCTGCAGTCTCTGGGTTCTGGCAGCACCTTACCATTGGGTCCCCACAGCATGCTTCCTGGTATCAGGACCCAGCTGGGTCCTGGCAGCTGCAGGACTGTGATCTCCCAGCCCCAAGGGTGCATGAAACTCCCAGGATAGGAGTTTCACTGCTGTGGTGATCTCTCAGCCTCAGGGGTGAATGAAACAGCCATTTCATATGATCTCACATACCTTTAGGGTTGGGAAATTGGGGCAGTTAATGGGCTCCTCCTGCACCTGCAGTGAGGTGCATTGGGCTGTAATGTGTAATCCCACAGTTCCGCTTCCTGCCATGCACATGTGTCATGGTAGGAGGCACTATTTTGTAAATTGTGGATTAGATCCTGTTTCATATTTACCTGCATATGTAAAGAGGGCCTCTAGGATAAATATTATTGCTGGTCAGGTTCAAAGCTTCTTGTCTTAGTTTGTTCCATTGCTACATACAGGGCGTGTCTATATGAGATGCTGTGTTGCCATAGCGATGAGCTATGGTGACTTAGCTCATCGCTACGCTGACACAGCACTGGCGGGCACAAACTGTGATGCCACTGCTACTGTGCAGTAGGGTTGGAAATGACCTGTGTGGCACCAGGACTGCGCAGTACCAGCGGTACCAGCAATAACAACCGTGCAGTCAGGTGCATGTGTAGACCCACCTACAGTATACTATTGTAATAGTTTTATAGTAGATAGTTTCATAGGAGATATGGAAATGCTTGGTAGGTCCTCCAGAACATCTCCATAACATTGTCAAATTTTCACCTATGATACATTTCATCTAGTATTTTGTCCAGTCTGAATTCAGATACCTTGAGGAATGGGGCTTCAGCCACCAACAGGTAGTCTCCACAATCCAGTTGAACTTGACGTGAGGAAGATTTTCCTTATATGTAACCTATGCTTTCCCTTTCTTAATTTCAGCCCACTGGTCTTAGTTATCCCAATATCAAATTAAACCATTATGTTCCATCCTTGTTGATAATTTGCCTCTATCATATATTGTTATATTCCCTTTCAATGATTACCTAAGCAATTCAGTTTTATCTTGTTTAACCTTTCCTCATAAAATTTTATCTGCTTAGGTTAAACTAACAGTAAAAAACAAAAATATTCAATATGAAATAAATTCTAGGACTGTGAATGGCGTGATTTCAGTTGCAGGCCAGTCTAGACAAAGACTCATTAGTGAGTCTCATAATTTGAATTAAATAATAAGATACAGTTCTATCAGACTTCACTATCATGTCTAATAGTTTAGTGTCTTGGGTAAACTGTAGGTGGGTATGCAGTGTAAAATAAGTGTTTTATGCAATAATGGTTAAAACACAGGGCATTTCTTCAGAATTAGTTACTCAGTGGGAGGTGATGTTACCTGATTGTGCCTTGAGGATTACCAGTAAATCTTCTTTAGCAATCCCTCATATTCGAAGATGATTGTCTTCCATGATTGTCTCATTTGTGTGTCCGAAGATAGCTGATGAGGCCTATCTGGGATCGACAGACTCTCTTATAACCACTGCCTTCATACCTGTTCATGACTAGGAGCTTCCAGACCTTACAGTTCTGTTCCCATTGCCATTAGCTGGTCACCAAAGGGCTTGAGGAATATGCTGTGTAGCCGAGCACTAGGTTGCTCACTACTAGTAAGGGTAATACGGGCGGAGCTGTCAGTCAACAGGGCAGCCCCGCTGGCGGTTGCTGAGGCAACAGATTGGGTCAGCTGACCGGAAGAGGGGCAGGGCCTGGCCTTTATAATCAGACAGGCCGAGGCCAGGGTCAGTTCCCCTCTGGCAGCCCGAGGAGCAGGAGCTCTGCTGCTGCAGAGCAGAGCCGAGCAGACCAGAGTTAAGCAGAGCAGCCACAGCGCTCCAGCGTCCGTATAATGATGAGAGGGGGTGAAGAAAACCCTGGCAGAGAGGTGAGGGAGCGCCTAGGTGGCGCGCAGTTTAGGTTATAGCCGAGCGGCTTCTTTTGTGTTGTAGCTGGTTGGCTCAGGGCTTTATGTTGCTAGTTCGTTATTATTACACCGGAGGACCAGGTGAGGCTGTAGGGGTGTGAGGAGGCCTCACGGGAGCTCCCCAGTAGTCTGGGGGTTCCTGGGTGCCCTGTACGGGCACAGCAAGCAGTGCCTGGGAGGCATGGCTGTTGGGCGTCAGTGTGGCGCTGCGTGTGGGGTGTTAAGACCCCAGCCCGTGAGGGCAGTATTTTGCCCACTAGGGCATAGGACCCCAAGAAGGGTCAGGGGGCCAGGCACGGCTACGGGTCACCTGAGCCCCGGGTACGAAAAGCGCCGGACAGGCCCAGAGAGGTCGACGGGCGCGAGAAGCACGGGACAGGCCCAGAGAGGGCGACAGGCACGAGAAGCGTGGGACAGGCCCAGAGAGGGGTGCAGATAGAACTAGGAGCCTGGAGAAGGGTGAGGCGCATGATTAGAGTCCGGAGTAGGGCTGAGCGCGCAGTGAAAAGTCCGGAGAAGGACCGAGCGTGCGGTGAGGAGCCTGAAGAGGACAGAGTGTGCGGTTGAGAAGCCCGGAGAAGGGCAACAGTGTGAACAGAAGCCCCGGAGGGGCAAGTATTGCAGAAAGGCCCCAGAGAGGGGGCAAACAGATTGGGCGCGCATACTGAGGGACCCCAGAGAGAGAAGGGGTGCGCGTATTGAGAGACCCCAGGAAGGGGCGAGCATACAGACACGAGAACATCTGGCACATCTGCAAGGCTTGGGGCGTGCTAAAGGGGAGGTTGGAGGCATGCATAGCCCATGAGGCGGGGTGCACCAGTTCAGAGTAGGGCCAGTACGAGAGTGCCGTGCCCAAGGGGACGGAAGGCAGCCTCCCATACAAAACTATATATAAGACCAAGATGTGGCGGGTGAGAAAGAGGGTGCGTTCAAGACCCAACTTGGCACGGTAGGGGCGCCAGGGGAGATCACGGCTGCTCCTGCGCCCCGCCCTGTGACATGCTGGAAAAGCTGTTTTCATGGAAGGTGCCCGTGCGTGACTTATTTTATCATGGAGAAGCTGCTGTACGTCTGCTTCCACATGGCTCTTGGCAGAACAGGACCTTGATCCAATGGCAAGGAGACCAAGACAACAGGGGATCTCGTTCCGCTGCAGCCTTCATGCACCTGTGCAGCCTTTGAGGACTTGTAGACCCATGGCTAGGGGCTGGGCAGGCTTATTCTAGTGGTGACCTGTACTTGCCATGTCACAGCACCCTCAAAGGATTTTCAGGAGGGAAAGAATTGCCATCTGCTGTCCTCACCACAGTCTAGTGGTGCTGCCACTGCTTGGTCCATGCCTGCTTATTCATCAGAGTTACCCCTGCTTATTTTATAGCTAACCTTCAATGAAGGTCTTTCCACTATCCACCACCTGTGGATGTGCTGGGTAGCTCTGCCCCACATTATTTAATTCCCCAGTAAATGCCCAATGGCAAAGTTGCTATTGCTACTTTAAGTTGAAAAAGGTACAAGGGTGGGTGGACCAAAAGTGGTTTGTAGATGTAATTAATTGGCTGATGGAGTTTCCTTTGGTAAACACTGGGAGTTGTAAGAGAGTATAAAATTTGCATTTAGGCATAATCAGATCAAACTTAATCTTTTATAATTTTATGTATCTTATCTAGATTCATATAATAATCAGACTTTATTTAGAATCATAGAGTTTTTGTAAAAGCATCTGTCTAGTGTTCCAGGCCCTTTCCACAAATTAAAAAAATTACAACCCTTGTGAATTAGCACTCCTGGTAACAGATCCTCAATCACTTAATAGAAAACTAACTGTCAGTAGGGTAATAAATCAAATTTGTTTGCATTTCAATTAATACTAAGAGTGTAATAAGATAATTTTTTTAGCAACAAATCTATTATTACTGCTCGAGTGAGTTCAAGTCATACAAGAACCTCAATATTTAGGTCATTCTTACATTGAGGTCTAAAGGTAACTCAGTACTCTGACTTTCTGTGAAAAGCTGAGTAGAAAAAATATGCTCAGTAAAGACTATAGAAAACTTAATTGACATATTCTTTATGCCTGTATCAGAGCTGTCATGCCCTTATAATAGTATGTTTATTGCAGGAAAATTACTTCAGAAGCTGCTTTAGTTTTTCTTTATAAGTTTAAAAGAATTGCAGACAAAACTGACTTTTAATACATTATGTGTTGTTGATTGGGAAAATGGTTTAAAGGTGTTAGAAATTGCATGCAACTATTCAGAAGGACTGAGAGTTCAGTTAGGCCTATAAAAATAAATAATTATATGAAATAAAGTAACTGCATATAATTTGGAATTTGTTTATACCAAGATCTGCACCAGATGGCAGCTGAGCCCCTGTACACAGACACAATGCCCTAGATTCTCTTTTAGATGCATACGACTTTTTTGCATTGTGCTGGTGTCACAAAATTACTATAAAGACAGCATAACCAACAGCAGCTAGACCAGGTTTATACTGCAAGGTTTGCTTCCTTAGCTGATGGAGCTATACTGACAAAACTCCTGGTGTGGACACAGCTCTCTTGACATAAGAGAGACAAAAAGCCTGAGGCTTAATTGATTCTATCTTCACAGGGTAGTCTAAGCA